TCTTTCCCCTGGGCTTTGGGAGAGTGTGTACCTCCCGTATGATGACCAAATCAGGTGTTGTGAAGCTTGGGTTATCGGCTGAAGAGCAGGCTGAAGTAGATCGCCGCCTGGTCGAAAAGAAGAAAGAAAAGAAGAGAGGAAAAGACAGAAAGAAGAAGAGATAAAGAAGAAAAAGCAAATGGAAGAAGAAAGAATGAAGAAAAAAATGAAAGAAAAGTTGGAAAAAGATTTGAAAGAAGAACCACAGACCATAGAAGAAGAAGAAGAGACTGATGAGGGAGGTGAAAGACTCATCAGACGGCGGACAAAAAGGGGAGAGACTAGTCAAGTAGGTGGCGAACTCAATGTCAAACCGCTGGACTGGTACGACCAGTATGCATACTCCAGCGATAGGATTGAGGAAACGGAGGAAGAAAGGGACGTGTTCATTGCGAGACTGATAACTGTTACAGACCAGAAAGAAAAAGACATTATGCTTGAGGAATAACGTGCAGAGTTGCATTGTAAAATGTTAGCAGCAAAGTGGCAAAAACTTGATGAGAGGAAAAGGTTACAAGCAGAGGGTGCCAGATTGCAAAGAGAGTTGCAAGAGCAAAAAGACAAACAGGTTGCAACCGAAGAGAAGCTTGCTCGTTTGACAGAAATTGTCCTTCATACCAAGCAAGAATCTGCCAAAGATGTGGATTTGCACATACAATCGTATATTGAAAAGTTAGATACCTTTCTGCAAAAATCCGCCAAAGATGTGGATCTGCACATACAATCGTATATTGAAAAGTTAGATAATCACATCACCCAGACCTTTACTCCTGTCGTGATTGATAAGATAGTCCGAGGCAGCGGAGGAGGAGGAGGAGATGGAGATGGAGATGGAGACGGAGATGGGGGAAATGATAAAAAAGGAAAGGGAGTGTTGCGGGATGATAAAGACACTGATGTAAGAAAAATAAAGGTTAAAGTGTCGTGGACCTACACTGGCAAGAAGGAGGAGAGTGTCCTTCATTGGATTGCGGCCGTAATCATACGTATACGGTCAGTGCATACCTTATTGGGATAGAGTTATGATGGCTACTTCATGCATGGCCGATGATGCGGTGAGCTTCGCTATATCGTTGCAAAAGGAAGCTAACTGCGATACTATGATTGCATATTCACAGCACACTAGAATTAAAAATTTCTTTAAAACTGTTAGAGAACGATTTGAAGACAAGAATCTAGCTCGCCGAACAGAAATGTTAATTTTAAATATCGCAGATCGGAAATGGAAGAGTGCATCTGCACTCAAGGCAACGATGGATGAACTCTTGCAATGTGCAGAACATGGGCTAGCTCCTACTCAAATCCTCAACAACTTCGCATGGGCACTTCCTGACCCTCTCCGTACTCAGCTTTATCCCCGCACAAAGGAAGAGGGGATGACGTACGAGAAGTTCAGCAAGATCGCTATAGATCATGCTGGCTTCTTGGCTGAAGCTAATTACTGCCATTATTGGAAAGATCTGCAAGCGGGAAAGAAGTGGCAGAATCGCACAATCTCAGGGAACATACCTAGGAAAGACAATCTCCTTCTGACCTTCGAAGAAGGAGGTGTCGAAACTCTTTCCTATGATCAAATAGATTATGGTCTGGAGGGACGACCCAACGACACTGTACTTTAGGAGGGGGACTACGCGGCCGTTGCAGGTGTGCTACGTGATGGGATGCGGTGCATTTCCAAGGGCGACTCCACGGTGGTGGATGAAGCGGAGGACGGGAGGCACGTGGGAGGATCTGCGGCAATGTGATGACGTCATAGACGATTACTTCAGGGAGACGCTTCGAATATCGCCACGTGTTTTCCGCGACATCGTGAAAACTCTGTCCCCATACCTTGAACGTCGTGTGACATTCTACAGGGTGCCCTTGCAGCGACAATGCAGCCTGACCACATCGTCGCCTACGCTCTCTACAGGTGGGCTTCGGGGGAGACATACGACAATGGGACGTGTAGCTTCGGCATTGGAAGGTCTTCCGGCATCACGGTGGTGGGGGACGTCACTGCTGCGTTCCTCGCGGTGTACCCCGACAAGATATCCTGGCCGACGGGTTTACAAAAGGTGGTTGTCTTGCGCGCGTTCGCAGACAAAGGCTTTCCAAACTGCCATGGGTGCATAGACTGCACCCACATCTACGTCGACAAGCCGGCGAACACGAATGGGGAGGACTGCTACAACAAGAAACGACAATTCTCCGTGCAGGCGCAGGTGGTGGTGGACATGAACTTGCGTGTGCTGGACGTCTTCGTCGGTTAGCCTGGTAGTGTGCATGACATGAGGATGCTGTACCTCTCCAGTTTGTGGGCGCGCGCGGAGGTAGGACAACTTTTCACTGGGTCGCATGTAATGCTGCCTCTCGGTGTCCGAACTAATGGCTACTTGCTCGGCGACAATGGTTATCCCCCGTCCAAATGGATAGTCGTCCCTTTTGCGCAGCACCCGTTGGAGGCACGCTTCGACAACAAATAGAAGACGGCGAGGGGAGCAGTGGAGAGGGCGTTCAGAAGATTGAAGGGGATGTGGAGGTTGTTCCTCTGCACCCACAAGTGCAACATGGAGACCTTGCCGCAACAATTTGTCGCCACTTGCATCCTCCACAACATTCTCATCGATTCAGGCATCCCGTTCGACGACAATCTGCTGTGGGAGGTTGGTATAGACGGCGTTCGTCGCAGGGTCGATCTCGGGATGCATGCGCCACTGAGGTCGATTTGTATGGAGTCGCCGACTGGGGATGCACTGATTTTGAGAGACGCGTTGGCAGAGCGGATGAGTGTGCAGTGAATGTGGTCGTGCGTGGACAGACCCCGCGACAGAGTTATTTCGGCGGGATAACGGAGCAGACTGAAGCGGGGAGGCACCCAAGAGAAATAGAGGCGGGAAGGAAGGGAAGATCCGCTTCCCATATCCACTGGCGGTGTCGTGCGCATACGATAATGACGCCCTCCAGTGTGCTATCGTTAGGATGTTGTTCTTTTCGTCGTCACGCGCAGTGACCATCATCCGGGTGTCGTCCATGTTGTCGTCGTCGATGGTGTCGTCCTCCGTTCAGTAGCCCTGCAAGTGAAGCCGTGAAAGCGTCGTCTTGCGGAGAAGTGCGAGACGTGTCTTGCGCCATTAGTGGTCGCGATTGTCAGTGGCATAGTGGAGAGAAGTTGCAGTCGGTTTTTTTTTTTTTTTTCTCTTATTATTGTCGCCGTTGGTTTTCTTGTCGTGACTGCAGTCGATTAGAGTGGCGACGGTAGTGTACTCGCAGTTTGTGGAAACTTTCTTCGGGGGCGCTTCCGAAGGACGCGGTTGCACGTGGTAGTTGGCGAGTTCATCGTCGAGGGTCGCTGACAAAGGGGTGGTGTGGTGGGTGAGGTGGTGGCAGGGTGGTTGTAATGAACCGGGTTTTGACATTGAAATGCTATTGCCTTGGAAGGCATTTTCCTTTTTAAGCATTGTGTGTCGTTCGCTTTTATTGGTGTGCCAGAAAGTGCGGTCCTGCTTCTTTTCTTCCTTTGTTGTTTTCGACGAAAGTTCAATCACCTGCTTCTGATATGCTGTCCCGCAATGACTTCGTGTTTTTTTTTTTTTTTTTTTTTTTTTTTTTTTTTTTTTTGTGCAACACAGGTTTGTGTTTCCATGTGCATTCCCATCGTCGATTTCATTGTCTGCTCGGGAACTTGGAAGACTGACCATCAATTTCGTATGCAAAAACCTTTACCATTTCCATTCATGGGACGGCGGGATGGAAGACGAATTGCGTGGTTTCATGCGAAAACAGGCGAATTGTGAACAAACTTACATACATGACATTCTAATCATGAGTATTCAACATTTTACATCGCACACCATCGACCCCACCGGACAACACATTTGAAAAAAGAATAAGAACGCAAGCATTGATTGAAAAAAATAACAGCGCATGGCTGTTAACATCAGTCACATCAAAGTAATGGAAGTGTGTTCGCTGTACCAGGAGCGAATGCGCAGCATGTCCCATCCGAACGCAGTATACTAATATGCTAAAACCCAAAAAGGGAAAAAAAAAACCCAAAAAAAAAAAAACCATAACAAAAAAAACGGTCGTACGAAAGTACACACGACCTCACCACAAATCCATCCATTTACAGAAATGGTCGTCGCGAGAAGCGCGACGACTGCCACGTGGGCGGAAGGATTTCCCCCTGTGTACGAAAATCTGCACTCCACGCCGAAACACGCGAACTGAGAACTAGAGCTTTCACCCATCGCCCAAGAAGAGACACCTGCGAATGACGACGTGGTAGACGACGACAACCTCCACATTGCACACCGAGTGGGGGGGGGCTGATCTCACGCGCCTCCATTTCACGAGCATCCGACTCACGTTTTTGATTGACGTCCTCCTCCTCATAGTCATCGTCGTCGTGCGGGGGGATCATCGAAACCGCATCAACTCCCGTCGCCTTTGTCATTGACGTCGTCGTCCTCCGGGGGGCCTGTTCCGAACCAATCCATCTTCTTGACCTCCATCGAGGAGACCAACGTCGTGTCGTGGTAGAAAGTGACGCCACACTTGGACGCCTAGTCAGGGATGTTGAGAGGTGGGGGGGCAAAGGTCGGCGGCGGTCTATCCAACTTGTCCCTTATGACCTGCGTCGCTTGTGTGATGTGGCGACAGACGTCGAAATGGCGATTCATCGATACACGCAGCGTCGTTTTCGCCATCAGTTGGACGAATTCCCAAGAGTCGTAGTGCGATCTTCAATCGTCCCCGACCATTCGCATTATCCACATTGTGGCCGCCAGCAAGTACCTCATCGCGTTCGCCATCGCCTTTAGCCGCTCGTACGACACACAGGCCAAGTCCATCAATTGCGTCGTCCCCACCACTCTAGTGAAATCGCGCAAAACGCAGAACACTTGCTTCCTGGTAAGTCGGACACTCATGCGCCTCGTGGTTGTCGACTATGTCCACGCCGACGAACCACAAAAGCATCATCATGTCCATTTTTATCGTCGTGCGGAACACCATCGGGCTGACCAACGTGCGTCAGTCCTTCACTGCCCACATCGCTCTGGCGATGTCAGTGGCAGAGTGGTTCAAGGCGTACTGGTACGCCAAGTGATACCCCCTCTCCCTGCTGCCGAACTTGAAGATCCATCCGTGGATCGCCCTGAGCGCTATCGTCTCTACCTTCAACGCTCTTTCCTTCGCTACGGTGAACTCCAATTCGTCTTCGATCTTGTGCTGCGGGATGCTGTTGTGTGGAAAGGCGATGCGCCTTTGAGGAGCCGGATGGTGCACTCCCCTCACCATTGCCACCAGATACGCGCGTGCTTCCTGGATGATACTCACTATGGTGCTTCCCCGGGTCTCGTTCGAGAACCGCATATCGCATGACCAAACTTTGGGGGCTGCTTCTATTGCATGAGATGGCGCACAAGAGCCGCACAACCTTTGCACGAGAGGCTCGTCGTCTTCCCCTACTCCCGCTTCCGCGCCATCACCCGCCTTCGGAAGCTCCCCCGCGTCTCCTGCCGACGCAATGACATTGCCCCGCGCCACCAGCGCAGCAGATCGCATCGCCACGCCTTCGAAAGGCACTTGGGAACTGCCCGGGACGTCGACAGGCTCAGGGTTCCGGCGGTTCAATGGCGACTGCGCACATTGTAGGGCCAAACCCCGGTAGACTTTCGAGCCTTAGTCGACCCCACTGCGGGCCCTAGTTGGCTCGGCCCGCCCACGCTCATGCTCAGGGCGCGGGCCATTCGTCCCAGGGTCACACCCACCTAGTGCTTTGAGATAAATGGGGGTGGGCAATCGCGCGAGAGAGCTTTGACATTGAGGATGTAGCTCAGCCCTCACGCCGGGTGGCAGGCCCGCTGGTCATTCAGTCAACGCTGATTTTTCTTTTTATTCTTAGTTATGTTCTCAGCCAATTGCTCCTTCCAATACGCAGGCAGTCCAAGGGCTCTTTGAGTGTTTCTCTTCTCTTGTGCGCAGGCTAAGCGTCATCCTTAGACCACGCACCATTTTCCTAAGTATCGTGTTCTAATGGCGTCATCGGGGTGCGGCGATGCCATCCTCCCCCTCGCCTCTACGCACCCATCGGGCCCCATACTCCTCATCCAACCCTATTGACGCACACCCCTTAGTCCTTTCGGGGCCTTTACATGCATGCACACACAACTTCATATTTCCCTCGGCAAGATTGCACTCCATTTTCTCATTTACGCTCCAAGTCTCAAATGCAAAGGTCATTTTCATGGGTTGGCTTTATGCTAAGGGTCCCGTAGCCCCTTTGCCCCTCTTCCCTTTTCCTTTTGATGCCCGGTTCCTCCTGGCCCTATCCCGCGCAAGGCATCCTTAGCCTTCACTTACCTGCACAATCCCGCACAAGAAAGAGTGAGAGAGAGGGAGGAGAGAGAGAGAGAGAGAGAGAGAGAGAGAGAGAGAGAGAGAGAGAGAGAGAGAGAGAGAGAGAGAAGAAACTTTTATTCCTAACCAAATCATCTCCCCGTAATAGCGGGCAAATGTCGGTCACCCCTCCCATAGTAGTAGCAGCCAAATGTCAGTCACCTATCCCATAGTGAAAGATCAACTAAGTATGAACCGGAATACTACAATACAGATGAATTTGACAATGAGAGATTGAAAAGCACATGCACATGTAGGAAGAAGCAACTAAGTACGTCCGGCACACTGCAACACACATGAACTTAACAATATGAAGATTGAATTAGTGAAGAGCACATATACATGGAGGAGAGATCAACTAGGTGCGAACCGGAACACTACAATACACATGCACTTGACAATGGGAAGATTGAACTAGTGAAAGGTACATGCACATGGAGGAAAGGCCAACAAAGTATGAACCGGAACATCATAACACGCATGAACTTGTCAAGGAGAAGATTGAACTAACGAAAGCACATACACATGGAGGAGAGATTTAACTAAGTAAGAACTGGATCACTACAATACATACGAACTTGACAATGAGAAAACTGAACTAGTGAAAGACACATGCACACAGAGGAAGGATCAACAAAGTATGAATCGGAACATCACAACACACATGAACTTGATAATGAGAAGATTGAACTAGTGAAAGGCATATGCACATGGGGGGAAGGATCAACAAAGTATGAACTGGAGCATCACAACATATATGAACTTGATAATGAGAAGATGGGACTAGTGAAAAGGCACATGCACATAGAGGAGAGATCAACTAAGTATGAACCGGAACATCACAACATACATAAACTTGACAATGAGAAGCTTGAACTAGTGAAGGATACATGCACATGAGAAAAAATCAACTAATTATGAACCGGAACATCACAACATACATGAACTTTACAAATGAAAAGATTGAACTAGTGAAGGACACATGCACATGGAGGAAAGATCAACTAAGTATACACTGGAATCATCACAACATACATGAACTTGACACATGAGAAGATTGAACTAGTGAAGGACACATGCACATGGAGGAAGATCAACTAAGTATGAATCAGAACATCACAACATACATGAACTTGACAATGAGAAGCTTGAACTAGTGAAGGACACATGCACATGGAGGAAAGATCAACTAAGTATGAACCGGAACATCACAACATACATGAACTTGACAAATGAGAAGATTAACTAGTGAAGAACACATGCACATGAAGGAAAGATCAACTAAGTATGAACCGGAATCATCACAACATACATGAACTTGACAATGAGATACTTGAACTAGTAAGGACACATGCACATAGAGGAGAGATCAAATAAGTATGAACCGGAACATCACAACATACATGAACTTGACAATGAGAAACTTGAACTAGTGAAGGACACATACACATGGAGGAGATATCAACTAAGTATGAACCGGAACATCACAACATACATGAACTTGACAATGAGAAGCTTGAACTAGTGAAGGACACATGCACATGGAGGAAAGATCAAATAAGTATGAACCGGAACATCACAACATACATGAACTTGACAGTAAGAATATTTGAACTAGTGAGGGATACATGCACATGGAGGAAAAATCAACTAAGTATGAACCGGAACATCATCATGTAAGAGTTGAGCCATGTACGTGAGTGAGACTTGCTCAAACACATGCTCATGACTCGTGTATGCAACCAAGTTTAAAATAGACTGCCATCATTTGAGAGTTGAGCCATGTATGTGAGTGAGACTTGCTCAAACACACGCCCATGACTCATGCATGCAACCAAGTTTGAAAAGTAATGTCATCGTCTATCATGCGAGTGGAGGGCACAAGCTAGACTAGTCCCAAAACACAAGTCTTGGGCACGAAATCACTTATGAAAAATTCGGGGTATTCCCTACTAGCATATGGGTGAAAATCAAGACTTACATTCGGTTAAATCACAACTATTGAGCATGAGATCATCCCTTGAGGAATCGGAGCATCACCTATTAGCATGGGAATGAAAAGCGAGAGTTGAAGTAACCCAAATCACAAGTAATGAGCATGAGATCATCCATAGAAGAATTGAAGCATCTCCTAGTAGCATGTGAGTGAAAAGCAAACTCTACATTAGTCCAAATCACAAGTAATGAGCATGAGATCATCCATGAAAGAACCGGAGCATCTCCTACTAGCATGTGAGTGAGAAGCAAGATTTACACTAGTCAAAATCAAAAGTAATGAGCATGAGATCATCCATGAAAGAATCGGAGCATCTCCTGCTAGCAAGAGTTACACAAGGCCATATCACAAGATTTAAGCAAGACATCATCCATGGAAGAATCAGAGGATCTCCTACTAGCATGTGAGTGAAAAGCAAGATCTACACTATTCCAAATCACAAGTAATGAGCATGAGATCATCCATGAAAGAATCGGAGCATCTCTTACTATCACGTGAGTGAAAAACAAGATTTACACTAGTCCAAATCACAAGTAATGAGCATGAGATCATCCATGAAAGAATCGGAGCATCTCCTATTAGGATGTGAGTGAAAAGCAAGATCTATACTAGTCCAAATCACAAGTACTGAGCATGAGATCGTCCATGAAAGAATCGAACCATCTCCTACTAGCATGTGAGTGAAAAGCAAGGTCTACACTAGTACAAATCATAAGTCATGAGCATGAGATCATTCATGAAAGAATCGGAACATCTCCTACTAGTGTACGAGTGAAATTCAAGAGTTACACTAGTCAAAATCACTAGTAATGAGCATGAGATCATCCATGAAATAATCCGAGGATCTCCTACTAGCATGTGAGTGAGATGCAAAAGTTGAAGTAGACCCAAATCACAAAAGTTGAACATGAGATCATCCATAGAAGAACCGGAACATCTCCTACTAGTGTGTGAGTGAAATGGAAAAGTTACACTAGGCTGTATCATAAGATTTGAGCAAAAGATCATCCATGGAAGAATCAGATCATCTCCTACTAGCATGTGAGTGAGAAGCAAGATCATCATTTGTCCAAATCACAAGTAATGAGCATGAGATCATTCAAATAAGAATCGGAACATCTCCTACTGGTGTGTGAGTGAAATGCAAGAGTTACACTAGACTATATTACAAGATTTGAGCAAGAGATCATTCATGGAAGAATCGGATCATCTCCTACTAGCGTGTGAGTGAAAAGCAAGATCTACACTAGTCCAGATCACAAGTAATGAGCACGAGATCATTGATAGAAAAAGCAGAGCATCTCCTACTAGTATGTGAGTGAAAAGCAAGATCTACACTAATCCAAATCACAAGTAATGAGCATGAGATCATCCATGAAAGAATCGGAACATCTCCTACTAGTGTGTGAGTGAAATGCAAGAGTTACAATAGGCTATATCACAAGATTCGAGCAAGAGATCATCCATAGAAGAATCGGATCATCTCCTACGAGCATGTGAGTGAGAAGCAAAATCTACACTAGTCCAAATCACAAGAAAGGAGCATGAGATCATCCATAGAAGAATCGAGCACGACCTACTAGCATATGAGTGAAAAAAAAGAGTTTGAGTAGCCTAATAGGAAGAAGAGGATGAATAAGAAGAAGAGGAAGAGGAAGAGGAAGAAGAAGAAGAAGAGGAGGAGGAGAGGAAGATGGAGAAGAGGAAGAAGAAGAAGAAAAAGAAAAAGAAAAAGAAAAAGAAAAAGAAGAAAAAGAAGAAAAAGAAAAAGAAAAAGAAGAAGAAGAGAAGAA